GTTAACAATATCTGTCATCGCGGGCTGTCTATTTAATAGTTTTAACAATAGATTTCTACGGCCATTGAGCGATTTTACCCACCTGTGTGGAATTGATATAGTTTTTAAGCGAGATCATTTAATACGAGCAAATATGTGTGGAATATAGTTTTTTCTGCTTCTAAGTAAATTTATAGTATATAATATAAATTTAATAGCTTTTTTTCTTGATCCGTAAAATAAAGTAAATAGACAAAATATAAAAATAAAATATTTCGATAACTGTATGAGTTATATGAGTAGAAAATGAGAATGAGGCTTACAAATGTAATGCAGATAGACCTAAACAAAACTTAAATGCTTAACAAAAGAACAGAAAAATTTAAGCATTTAGAATTTATAATAGCAAACATAGGAACAATTGAAGAAGATAAAATTAATAGACTAAGACAGACACGAAATTAAATACAAGAAAACACTACAAAAGCTTCTTTTTTTTCGGCTGACTGCATAACTTGTTTCTATTTCAAACGGTCGTGATGATAGTTGCGTCAGTGGGTAGCCCCATTGTTCTTAAATCTGACCATATGTTTTCTTTCCATCGCATTCATGGACATTATCAAGGTCTTCTCCCTGTCAGGACTTTTTTCCAGATTAACTTGGTAAGGTGGTTATTAGGGGGTCTATTGACCTGGCCGGCCATCTTAGACGTTGGGATTTAATTTCTTTGACGACGTCGCTAGTCTTGTATCTCTGTTTGATCTCGGCATTTGTTATTATTTAGTATTGGTTAGTATTTGGGTCGTGATAGGATCCGAAGATCCTTTTGAGGATTTTTCTCTTCCGTGATATCGTTATCTGCGGTGGTTGCCGCTCCAAGATATTTAAAACGTTCTATTCTTTCAAATTTATATGGGTATATTTTAAATAAGCTATTCGTAAGAATACATTTTTATTTTGGACTACGTCATCTATGTGAGCGTGATGACGTCTTTGCTAAAATTTTTAAATAGAAAGGGGGGTATTGTAATACATCATTTGAAAGGTCTTTTAAATACCTATTCAGCCATATCAATATGTCTGAATATTTGATGTTTGTAATTGTTTAAAAAAATTATTAAATATTTATTATTACAATAAATATTTATTAAGTATTGATATGATGTATTATTGACACCCAAAAATAAATTTTATAAAGACCATCACTGGTAATGAAATGTCTTTTTTATTTACTTTTTACCTTTTTAAAAAAACTAGCCTGCCTTATCAATATGAACATTGATAGTTGGACATTCAAACTCATGGCCTGGAATCTTATATGAACGACTTGGTTCATTCCCCCATCACTTTGACCCCAGCGAGTTAATAAAGAGAAATGACAGCCTATCTCTCTCACGAAGACTTTAACCAATCATAAACCAAATAACCTAATCAAACGAAGCAATGTCAATTCTGTCAATCCAAATTAATGACAGATCTTCCGTTTGTTTACAAGTTTTCAATTTTATTTTATTATCTTTAACTTTCGTTTGGATTTATTCTTAGTAATTTTAATTTAAATTTGGTTACTTAATTTTTAAAGTTTATTTTGAGTTACCTATTGTAGCAAAGAATTTTTGTGTTGTGCTAGTAACAAAACTAAACATGGTGAATTATTGTATTGTTCGTTGTGTACAAATCATGGAATAATTACAAAAAGAATGATAGTAAGTTGTCAGAAAGCAAAAAATAATAGTATTTAACTTCTGCAAATATGTGTAATAAATATTATGTAATTATTTTATAACTGTTTTATCTTAAACAACAAATATACGTATATCTAGAAAAAATTATGCATCTTATATCCTTATTTTCCAATAAATTTTAATTAGTAACGAAATAGCCCACAAGAGGCGCTAAAGGGTATGTATGTAAGGGGTGTTCATTCGAATTTGCCGCCAAAAGATGATTAGTATTGACCCCAGCCGCAAGGGGCCTAATGAACGAAATTTATACATTGAGTTGCCTATCTATTTCTACTATTATATTATTTATCTATGTTCAAACTTAATTATCTTTCTGTCATGTGATTAATAGTTTTTATTATTGTAGTTATGGAGATAAAACACGTACGCAGAAAGAAGTATGTGCGTTATTTAATAATAAATACCCCTGTCGAGAACTAATTTCACAATCCACTGTAAGCAAAATTGAGAAAAAATTTAGAGAAACGGGTCATGTTAAAGACCTTCCTAAAGGTAGTAGAAAACCAATATCTGAAAACCAACAAGTAGACGTTCTGTTAGCTTTTCAAGATAATCCTCATAACAGTTCACGGCAAGTAGCATTAGATAATGACATGGACCATTCAACAGTTCTTAAACAGCTAAAGAAGGAAAAGTGGCATCCCTATAAAGTAAGTTTAGTACAAGAACTTATGGAAGATGATTTTGATAGACGGATTGAATTTTATGACATTATAATGGAACGAAATAACAGAGATCCGATGTTTTAAAAAAGATTATTTTCTCTGATGAAGCTACATTTCTACTAAACGGTTATGTCAATCGTCAAACTTATCGGTACTGGGCTACGGAAAATCCACACTGGATGCAAGAGTGCCATACTCAATACCCAGAGAAAATTAATGTTTGGGTGGGAATAATAGATAATAGGATTATTGGACCATACTTTTTCGAAGAAAACTTAACAGGTCCTCGATATTTAGAATTTCTTAAAAATTTCTTGCTTCCAGAATTGAACCGGTTGTTTCCAAACAGAAATGATTTATGGCTACAGCAAGATGGTGCGCCTCCACACTATGCTGTCTTGGTACGCAACTACTGAAACAACGTCTTTCCAAATCGGTGGATAGGTCGAAGAGGAACAATAGAATGGCCGCCTAGGTCACCTGATTTGACTCCTCTTGATTTATTTTTATGGGGATATTTAAAAAGTAAGGTGTATCAAAATAGACCACAAAATATTAATGAACTGAAAGAAAGAATACGTAATCAGGTTGTTCAAATAACTCTGGAATTTTTAGAGAATGTTAGAGAAGAGTTCGTGGCACGCCTTTCTCATTATATTTTAGCTGAAGGTAAAGAATTTGAGCACTTTATTTAGATTTCGTTGTATTTATTGAATAATACTTAATAAATATTTATTGTAATAATAAAAATTTAATTATTTTTTTAAACAATTACAAATTTTACTTAGACATATTGATATAGCTGAATAGGTATTTAAAAGACCTTTAAAATGATGTATTACAATACCCCCCTTTCTATTCAAAAATTTTAGCAATGACGTCATCACGCTCACATAGATGACGTCAGAAATAAAAATGTATTCTTACGAATAGCTTATTTAAAAATAAAAATCGACGGGTTTCAGGATTTTTCCTTAAAGTCTCCGGTTTACGAAATAACGAATTTATTCCTTTCATTTCCACCATACTATATATGATCAAGCAACAACGTCCATTAAAATAGTTGAACAAACGGAGCCTATTAAGATACGGCGAGGAGTCAGACATGGTGACACTATATCACCCAAACTATTCAATCAAGCTTTGGAAGAGGTTATGAGGAAATTACAATGGGAAAAACGGGGTATTAAATAAATGGCCAATATTTGAATCACTTGAGATATGCAGACGACATTGTATTAATAACAGATAAAAGGGAAGAATTACAAAATATGATGGATGAATTAAATAGCGAATCAACAAAAATAGGTCTACAAATGAATTATAATAAAACGAAAATTATGACCAACCAACCAGAAGAATTAATAATTATAATTGCACAAACAAGTATAGAACAAATAAAAGAATATGTATATTTGGGACAACTAGTTAAATTAAATAAAGAAAATCAGACTGGAGAAATAAAAAGAAGGATACGGTTGGCTTGGAAAGGTTATCCTTCGGAAAACTTTCCTATATACTAAAAAATAGAAAATACCACCAATATTTAAAAACAAGAGTCTTCAACCAATGTATACTTCTTGTTCTCACCTACGGTTCACAAACTTAGACGTTTACAAAGGAAAACATGGAAAAAATAGCAGACCCAAAGAGCCATGAAAAGGAAGAGAAGGTACATGAGACAAGAAAAGAAATACTTGGATCCGCAACAAAACAAAAGTGACCAATGGATCAACGCAAATAGCAAAACTTAAGTGGAAGTTTGCTGGACATACCATAAGACAGAAAGACGACAGATGGAATAAGATTATTATACACTGGAGACCATATAGTTAAAAACGAAAAAGTGAAAGGCCACAAATGAGATGGTCAGATGACTTGAAGAAACACGCACGCCCGAAGTGAATACAAACTGCCTACAATAGAGAGATGTGGAAGAAAGAAGAGGAGGCCTATGTCCAAAATTGGGCAGCAAGGGCTGTATCGATAGATAGTATTTATTTTATAGCATGTGTATTATATCTCACAACGCTTGTAGTAACAAGACATTGTCCAAAAAATTCTTGTCTATGTATTTGCCTATAATATCGATAGCTCAGATTAGCGGAATTGTAAAATTATTGAACAATGTATTTTCATTTATAAATATTGTTAAACATTCAAGGAATACTCGGTTTGTATTTTTTTTTAATTATAGATGACTTTCCAGAATTTTATCTGTTTGTTAGTTTTTGTCTTAGTGTTTTGATTTACTTTATTGATTTCATGACTTAGATTATTGACAATTATTGTGTGCTTTGCTTTATTGTGAACTCAGTATCTTCTAGTTATTTTTATTACAGGTTTTCTGTCTCTAATTGTTGTTGTACAATGCCTATTATAAAATTTACTGATTGGATCTAGAAAAAATACATTTGTCTTATAAGTATCTCTGACTAAGATAGCTTCTTTTTCTTAAAACATATTATTAATAGGTAGACTGTAATATATATTATTATTATATTATTGTTCATTACTACATTTCCTACTAAATTTTTGGTAGTTTTTATGTTCATTATGTAGTTTCTGCATTATGTTTTTTGCGGTTTGTACAGTTTTATTTTAATTTTAGATTTTTCTGAGGAGAATAATACAACAGAAATTGCACATTCATCTAATAAACAACAAGAGAAACAAAACTCTGAAGAACAAACATTAAAACATATTAGTTCTAAAAATTTTTCTTGCAAAAATAATATACTGGAAAAGACTGAAAAAAGATATTACAAATGTGACATTTGTTTTAAGCAGGTTTCTCAGAAGAGTAATTTGAAACATCACATGAGAACACATACTGGGGAAAGGCCTTTCAAGTGTGAAATTTGTTGTAAGCAGTTTTCTCAGAAGGGTAGTTTGAAAGATCATATTATGAGAGCACATACTGGAGAAAGGCCTTTCAAGTGTGAAATTTGTTTTAAGCAGTTTTCTGTAATATATTCTTTAAAAAACCATCTAAGAACACATACTGGAGAAAATAAGTGTGAAATCTGTTTTAAGTCATTTTCCCTAAAAAATAATTTAACTATACATATGAGATCACATAGTGGAGAAAAACCTTTTAAGTGTGAAATTTGTTTTAAGCAGTTTTCAGTTCAAGGTAATCTGAATACGCATTTAAGAACACACACTGGAGAAACGCCGTACAAGTGTGAAATTTGTTTTAAACAGTTTTCTGTTCAATATAATTTGAATATACATTTAGGAATACACTATAAAGAAAAATCTTATAAGTGTGAAATTTGTTTTAAGCAGTTTACTTCAGTGAACTGTTTAAAATTACATATAAAAACACACTCTACAGAAAAACCCTTCAAATGTGAAATCTGTTTTATGCAGTTTACTTTAGTAAAGTATTTAAAATCACATCTAAAAACACATTCCAACGAAAAACCTTTTAAATGTGAAATTTGTTTTAAGCTGTTTTCTCATAAACAGAGTCTAAATGTACACATGAAAATACATACTGGAGAAAAACGTTATAAGCGTGAAACTCGTTTTAAGCCGTGTTTCTTATCAAGATAATTTGAAAGTACATTTAAGAACACACTCTGGGGAAGAGTCACCTCATAAGTGTGATGTTTGTTTTTAGTATTTTACATATTAAATCATTTGAAAAGACATCTGATAACACACTCTAAAGAAAAACCCTACCAGTGTGAAAGTTGTTTTAAGTCATTTTCTCAAAAAAATAATTTAAATGTACATATGAGAACACATTCTCAAGAAAAACCTTATGAAAAGTATAATGTTTGTCATAAACATTTTTATGTAGCATATTGTTTAAAAAAATATCGGGAAAGATATGAATGGCAGAATTTACAAAGCAGTCATTAGACCAATAATGACATACTCGGCAGAAACACTACCTGATACAGAGAGGACAAAAATTATGTTAGAAACAGCAGAGACAAAAACACTTACAAAAATTGAAGGTAAAACAATCTGGGACAGAGCTAGAAGTACAGATATAAAACATATATGCAAGCTGCAGTTTAATGCCGTTAACAATTTGAGCATTTTAGTGTACCTAATGGAAAAATCATCTTACAAAATGCTTACTACATTTTGTAGAATTATATAGCTAGCAATATATTATTAAAAAATTGAAGGGCTAAGTGGATGAAGGAAGTATTTAACATTTTTTTTGGTTTTGAGTTTTCATCATCGATCAAGGTGCTATGTGTTAAACGAAGCATTGCTCTTCAAAGTGAATTATCAAATTCATGAAGGAGGCATGTTACATATTGTTGCTGAAGTAAAATGAAAGAACAAAATATGTTACAAAATAATTTTATAACTTAGGAGGTATGTAACATTCTCTGTTGACATAAACCCTTCATTCAGTAGACTTTCTGCATTAAACTTGAATCAAAATATGGTAAAATACTCTCGTGGAAGAACGAGGCAAGAACCATAACAAACCATCATCAAACTGAAAGTGCTAACAGTATAGTCATAGAAACTGATAACTTTGTGGGACCAAGTGAGGAGGAAGAAGACTTTACTGAAATGAGAAGATTAGGCCTACCTTAAATAAGCAGGTTGAATCAACATATTGCAGATCATCCTAAAAGCAGATAAGCAGCCTTAATCCGCTTGAAAATCTGAGGGAGCAGCTACAGTTCATCCTCGAACGTTGTCGATTGTGGTATATCCAAATTCTAAATGAGTGCCAATAAAACACTAAATAATATTTTATTGTAGAGCAAGTTTGTCACTTTTAAATACATTTCTTGTTTAATAGAATGTCTTAATTTTATTACCTCAAACATCATTTAATCATTTACAGAATGCATAGAATTATTAATGGAAAGAGGAGGTATGTACAAAAAAGTATTTTTTTAAATAATAAATACCGTCACATTTCAATGTGGTTACAGGAGAAAACTCAAAAAAGCAACAGTAATAATATTAGCTAGAAAAAAAAAGCAACAGTAATAAGGTTAGCTAGAAAGCAAGCATGATATGTGTATATAAAGAAAGTACTAATATAAAAACTTTAAGAGCAAGTCATCTGCAAAATTTGATTTTGTTACATACTACCTACTTACTGAACAAAAAGTTTAAAGTAATCCTTTTTGGATTAATTAAACTCCTATGATTTTTTATGAAGCTTAGTGACAGTCATTCAAGATGTGCCAGCACTATTTTGTAAATGGTTGAATAGGACCCGTAAATTTTTCTCATAAACAATTATAAAGTTTTACTCTACTTATTATGTGATAGACTCCTTATTATTCGACAGTGTATTTGTTTTGTAACAGTAGCGTCTGATCCAGAGTGGGCGGCTGATATAGAACTCACCAATCCGTCTGGCAATCGAGGTGTTTTAATGCCAAAGAACCCTCTTCAGCAAATATGTCGAATTATTAAACAAACGGAATAGGACTCCAGGTGGGTAGAGTTACTAACTCGGAATCTCACACCGGGAAACCAGTGCAAGGATTCTGGGGGAGGCAAATATTTGACAAAAATAAATGTAGGAACGTATAACATCGATCCATGAACGAAGACACGAAAATCCACGGACTAGAGGAAGAACCGACTAAAATGCAGTAGGATATTATCGGCATATCCGAAGTAAGAAGAAAAGGAGAACAAAAAATACAGCTAAAATCAGGAAATTTGCTATACTATAAAGGTAATGAAGAAAACACCAACAATGGAGTAGGATTTATAATAAATAAAAAGTAGTTAAATCCATACAATCTACCAAGGGCATATCAGATAGAGTTGTAACACGACGCTTAAATTAAAAAGAATGTCCTTAAAAATCCTACAGGTGTACGCATACAGGTGTAGATTAACAACTAAGTTAGATAATTGCCAGTCAAGAGATTAAGTCGGTTTTAGAAAAGGATTCAAGTGACCATCTGCTTACGATATAAATCTTAAGTGAAAAGGCTAACAAATATCAAATCCCAGTGTATATGGCTTTGGGCATAAGGTGGAACATTGGGCAGTAAAGACCTCTTTACAAAATGAGAGAATAGACTATAGATATACGGACTTAATTTCCAACGGAGCCTATTAAGATACGGCGAGGAGTCAGAAAGGGTGACACTATATTAACCGAACTATTCAATCAAGCTTTGGAATACGTTATGAGGAAATTACAATGGGAAAAACGGGGTATTAACATAAATGGCCAATACTTGAATCACTTGAGATATGCAGACGACATTGTATTAATAACAGATAAAAGGGAAGAATTACAAAATATGATGGATGAATGAAATAGCGAATCAACAAAAATAGGTCTACAAATGAATTATAATAAAACGAAAATTATGACCAACCAACCAGAAGAATTAATAATTTTAATTGCACAAACAATAAAAGCTATTAAGAACGCAGAGAAAAAGTGCAATACAAATTCTAGGAGAGATAAGGAGGAAAAGCTCAGTCAAGAAACAAAAAGACTTATGGAGGCACGAAGAGAACTTAAGAACAAAAACGATACGAATGCACGCGTACTACAACAACTTAATAAAGATATTAATAAAGCAGTGAGAAAGGACGTACGACAATATAACACAAAAAAGATTACAACGGTTGTCGAGAAAAATAAAAGTTTAAAGCTGCTGAAGAGATGTCAAGCTCTAGGTAAGAAGAACATTGTTAAGCTCGCAGATCGAAATGGAAAAGTGGTAACAGATAAAGATAAGATAATTAAGGTAGTTGAAGAATTTTACACATAATTATATAGAGAAAGGGGGAAGAAAGACGGCACCAAGTTGAGAAAAGTCCAGAATGTGGGTTCAGAGGATATCCCAGAAATAACAATCGAAGAAGTCTTAAAGTCATTAAATAGAATGAAAAACAATAAAGCAACTGGTGATGATCAAATCGTTATTGAGGCAATTAAAGCAGGAGGAAAGACAGTATTGAAAGCATTGACGCAATTATATAACATGCCTTTCAAATGAGGTTACACCATCTCAGTGGAATAGTAGAATCTCAGTAGAAGACAAAGATATTGAGCCAGTTGACTCCTATAAATACTTAGGCCATGAGATTAGAATAAGTCGAGACAACCAAACAATCGAGCTGAAAAGAAGAATAAACCTCGCTTGGGCTGCATTTGGAAGGATGAAGGATATTTTTAGGTCTAAGATTCCAATGTGTCTGAAAAGAAAAGTATTTAATCAATGTATTTTGCCAGTGATGACCTACGGCGCAGAAACCCTAACGCTCACAAGAACAACAGTGAGTAAACTACAAGTTGCTGAAAGAGCAATGGAGAGAATTATGTTAGGGATTTCTCTACGTGATAGAATACCCAATGCTACCATACGCAAATGATCAGGAGTAGCAGACGTTATTGAAAGGATAACAACACTAAAGTGGAACTGGGCAGGTCATGTAGCAAGAACAGTTGATGACCGGTGGACAAAAAGAATTTTGGAATGGAGACCCCGAATACAAGCTTTCAGAAATAGAGGTCGACCCCCAACGAGATGGACAGATGACATAAAAAGAGTGACTACAAATTGGATTCAGATGGCGCAAAATCGGACTAAGTGGAAAAGCATGCGAGAGGCCTATGTTCAGCAGTGGACGTTAGAGGCTAGTTGATGATGATGAAACAACTATAGGTAAAAGAATATATGTATATTTGGGACAACCAGTTAAATTAAATAAAGAAAATCAGACCGGAGAAATGAAGAGAAGGATACGGTTGGCTTGGGTAGGTAGACTGGGGCTAGTTGTGCCACTTTGGACAAAATAATTTTTAACATTTTTTTCGTAATTTTTAGGGCTGTTAGATTACTTTAATGAGGTACTATTTTTAATTGGGAATCATTATTTGGGAACATCAGCAATTTTTAAGCAATACCTTACAGTATGTAAATAGTTTTACAAAATGCACATATTGTCACAATTTGCCCCAATATGGGGTAAGTTGTGACGAACTTGGGGCAGGTTGTGACAGTAAATATTTTTAAATATAATAAACTTTAGTTGGAGAATAATAACAAAGTTTCCATAATAAATTTATTTTATAGTTAAGTATAGATACATAAATGTTTGATAAATGTTTATGTAAGAAACAAATGTGTAGAAAAACATCTAGTGAATTTAAAGTAAAATAAAAAACTTAATCGCTATCGTCAATTTGTGCTGATTCTACTTGTAGTTCTGAAGAGTGGCAGTTTATACAAACATAATAAAGATCATCTTTTGTGCACTTTACATGAGCCCACCTCTTGCATTCCATACATTGCACCCAGTCTTCTCCTAACCTAGACTTTTTATATGGTCCCATACAAACTAAGCAAAAGTAATCTTCTTCCTCTTCTTCTGAGCTGTCTTCTCTTTTTCTTGTTGCGGTCTCTTTCTTTGGCGCTGCTTTTTTCTTAGGCAACAGTTGTTTTGAGTCAAATAATTTTTTCTTTATTTTATCCTCTTTGCACTTTATTGTTTCCTTCCTCTTTAACTCTTCACTGCGAATTGTCTCCTTGACAGGTGTGCTAGTCAAAATTGCAGATGTTAAGCTCTTGCGTTTTTTATTTTTTCGAGGACCAGCTTTTGGCAGAGGTCTTATATCCATAGGGCTGACAGGCAGAACTTCGGCATGGAATGATCCTGGTAGGTTGGCCTGCGATGATCCTTGTTGATATGGTCCTGGTTGATAGGTATGGGAGGGTCCTGGCTGGTTAGCATAATATGACGACGGTTCAGGTTCATCGAGATGCTGAAACTCTTTAAGCTGCCCAGCACTGGCTTCCTCATTACCATCTACGATGTCAATAGGCCTATTCAAAGGTCGGTCGGTCACCGAAGAACACAGAAAGTCTTCTTCATTAAAAATGTTTCTATTGAATTCCCATATTCCTGTAGAACGAAAGCCTGCCTGAACATTTGTTGGTGTTACAGCTTTAGGTAATGCTGTTTTCACTATACTTGGGATGTCATAAATTGAGACTGTGTTTCCAGGATGAGATTTCATCCATCCACACATGGCGTCGTTTAAAAACTTCTTAAATGGACCAAAAACGGAAACATCCAGTGGTTGAAGTCTATTTGTTGTATGGGGAGGGAACGATAAGAGAGTAATACCGTGCTCTGTACAATAGTCAAGGACTTCGATATATAGGTGAGCACTGTGGTTGTCTAACAGAACTAAAACCAGTGATTTCTTTGAGCACCTTACTTTTTTTACAAAATGCTTCATAAAAAACAAAAAGTCCGGGCCTGTTATCCAGCCACTTGGGTTAGCAGTACCACAACAACCTACTGGCCCATCACGTACAAAATGCTCCTTGTAAAACTTACGTGGAAAAACGAACATAGGAGGAACTGAGTTACCCTCTGCGTTAATAGCAAGAACCATAGTAACATTGCTCCCCCTCTCAGCTGAAGTGACACCACCAACTCTTTTCTCGCCTTTCTTCGCTATGATTTTTACCGGTTTTTGGACAGTCCCAGTCCCTGTCTCGTCTATATTCCAAATATCATTAGCTGTAAAATGGTTTTGACTTAATACTAATTCGAGGTTATTAAAAAAGAGTCCGACATTGTGCTTGTTGAAACTTGTACTCCGACTTAAGCTGGTAGCCTCAGGAACACGAATAGACACATTATTGTTACGTTGCATGAACTTTGTAAACCAATCATTACTGGCGTGTTTTGTTGCTACCCAATTCTCAGGCACAAGAACTTTGTTCGCTATAGCAAATTCAAAAGCTAAACTTTTCATTTCTTTTGGGCTAATACCATAAAATATTTTCGCTGC